AAAAGTGTCCTGTCATCATAAAATGTGAGAATGAAAGAGAGTTGAAGTCCAGTGCATAGGGTTGTGTGTTGGCAAGGGAGAGTCCTATCATCTCAAGAGTGTAGTGTGTGATAGAGGGTTAAAGCTCCAGTGCACAGGGTTGTGTATCGTGAGATAGTACCTATTTGGCTTCAACAGGAAGTGCATAATAGTAGATTGGAAAACCCTAGTTAAAGTGCTAGGTGGTCAATGTAGCCAGGGGGGTAAACCACATAAAAAAATCATCTGTGCACTCTATAAATTGCTTGTTGCCCGACTCTTCACTTTCAATGCTGCTTTCTTTGTTGTCATTGATAGATATGTTGAAGTTTCTATAGACAGTTTCAGAGAATCATCCATAGTTAATTTCTGAGTGCATCTGCATATATCATTCATCACGCTTAACTGCTCATTTGTGTGTTAACCGCTGCATTAATTGAAAGTTCCACTGAACTTTCAATAGACAGATCCACAGAACTCTCTTAGTGTACTGCATTCATAATTGCTTATCTGTCCATCTGTGTGCCTTGCATTGTACCGCTTCAAAATTCCATTGATTGTACTGCTTGAAAATTCCATTGAATTTTAAACTTTCCAGTTTCCACGCTATACTTCCACAAAACAATATAATGTTCATACATATGTTTTATTATTGCATTAGTTGCATAAAGTTTTTTATTCACCCCCTAGGTGTCTAACAGGAAACACTAATTATTAAAATATATTTATTGACTAAGCTAACAATAAGCCACACACCTATTGACAAGGTAGGTAGTATTTCTCTTGAAATATCATGCCAGCCAACAAAAAGAAACAAGTTGAAAACTTTTTCAAGAAGGAAAAAAGGTCGATGGAGATCTAAAAAATTCTTTGAGAACATTCCTAAGTAGAAATATTCGGACACGGAGAAAACTCTCGCATGTAATGGCACGTGTCCATTACACTGAATATAAAACCAATGAAGCATATTTGATGTCATCATGACTACCTCGAAGACCCCTTGGATCAGCTAGAGATGCCGGATGGGAGAATTGGAGTTTTGAAGGGCAAGGGTTCGCACCCCGGGAAGTGTTGTAAACAGCGCAAATGACAAGAAGAAAGTATAATACTAAGAAATTGATTTGTAAGAAACAAAGATGGTTGTCTTTCAGCTGAAGCATTGAAAAAAATAGAAGAATAGAAAAACAAAAGCAATGAAGATTCCACAAGGCTTTTCTATTTAACAATTTCTTTCATGGGATTTCAACCTTTTTACAGTCTTTTCTTGCATTACCTACACATTCACCCCTAAAACCAAACTTCTAGAATGCTTCCCATGAAACCATTTTAACTAAGCTTCTTCTTTTGCATATGGAAAACATGCACCTACTTATACTCCCAGTTTCATGTTCTTTATTGATATAACATTCTAAATACTATCCGCGTGTACAATAGTTATGTTTAGCGAAACATTATAATTTAGTCCAAATTCTTGGTCGCCATTTAGCTCTAACACCAATGATCATAATGAGAAGGGTAAGGTAAGAAAAATAGTTTTTAAGCTAGTAAAGAGAAACCTGCAGAATTAAGTACAACCACGAGCATTAGTATAAACTTGTGTGCTTCCCCTATTTCAATAAGGTTTTAACTACACACTACATCTTCTGTCAAAGTTTACTGATTGCAGGGCCAATTTATGAAGTAAACAAACATTAAACTGGTAACCAATATTGCGACAAAACTAATTCTAAATTAACAAGTTTATAGGAAATTTCAGTCATAAATAATCAAAACAAACCATTACTCATAATTTCAAAAAAAAAAAAACACAACAATCATAACTTCTTTCAAAGTAATGCTTCAACCAACAAGCAGTAATTAGCAAATTTCTCAGTGATTCGGGAATAGAAATAGAAGGATCAAGAGACCAACCTACAGAGTCGCCAATATCAGTATCTGCAACCTGATTCTTCTTCAATTTCCTTTCCAAATGAGCAGCTATCCATATCGTACCCAAAGGCCCTTTCTTTGCTAAAATAAACTGTGAGTAGAACATTTTGCCCCAAATTACCAAACCCTAGAACCCATCCAAACCTTAAAAACCCATAATACCCACACTCTCCTCCACTAATCTCACCAAGATCCAAACTTTCCAAACCCTAATTCAGCTCGAACTCAAAACCCCCAAATCTAAGCTCAACCTCTGGAAACTCCACCAAATCTCTCGAATCTTGCTCAAGGCCAAATAAAAGCTGAACTTGGAATGAAACCTCGATAACTCGAGCGAATTTTTTAAGGAAGCAGCTCCAATCGAAAGAAAAAAGGGGGCAAAATGAAATAAAGAAGAGAGAGAGCTGAGGGTAAAATTTCACTTAAAATATATAAAGGAGTTGCTCCCCTTCACTTTTTACTGCAAAAGAAGAGAAGCCAACAGAAATTGATAAAATGACTGAATTTTCGGGGAGTTGAAAGTTTAAATTTCGTGGCCGAATTTTTTTTTGACCGCCTTGTGAAAATATCGTTCTATTTGTCATATGCTGATTCTTTCTCGCGATATCCGGACCGTAAATTAGCTTTCGAGCGTTAATCCTGCCGTTGATTAACTACGCGCGTAACTGAATGTATCGACAATTTATCATGAGATTATCGCGGTAGATTTTTGTGTGACGTGGTCGGTACGTGGTGTTCAGGACTGGAGTCTAACCGAGGAGGGGAATCTTAAGGAGGGTAGATTTGTCATTTTCGTTGGGTTAGGCTCGCGCTGCATCTTTGTTAGAGCCAATTATGAGGTGGCTGCTCGCAGACAAACCGGAAGCATTCACTTTCCAAAGTTCGAAACTGCCACTAGTGATTTATGAAATGACAGGAGTGCCTTGGTCGGCTTGAAGCTGGAACATAAAGTGAAGTGGAGATTCATTATTAAGGTTAAATTTCATAATACCGATTTGTTAAGTTCTTTACAAGGGAAAATTATCTCCACCCCCAACATTTTAAAAAGGGATTAATTTGAGAAAACCCCTTTAAAGTTTGAGTCTTTGGCAGATAATATCCTTAAATTTTTTAAATTTTTATTTCTACAAAAACCCCTTGAACTTTGAGGGGTTCCACACATAAACCTCATTGACTTCTTTTTCCTGCTCAATCCCTTAAAGATTTCTCACTTTAACTTCTCAAGTAACATTTAACCTCTCAAAAGACGAAAAATACTCCTCGTCCCTCTGTAGACAACCAAAAATGCCAGAAGGAAGACG